GTACTACTAGTACATATTAAATATGAACTATATATATATATATATATATATATATATATATATATATATATATATATATATATATATATATATATATATATATATATATATATATATATATATGTAACTCTTGTATAAATAAACTGATATAAATTGTTTGAAATAGTTCCTTTGTTATGATTGTTTAGATGCACAAGCTATTGAAAGCTTATATGAAAAAAAAAGTTAGTAATTCTATTTTGTTATTTAGTTATTATTTATTTAATTATTTAGTTAGTAATTATAATTTATTGATTTTTTGTTATTCTTAATTCTATTAATATGAAAACTATTTTGTTATTTTATTTATTATATTTTATATAATCTTATAATAATATAATATAACAATGTAAGTTACAATAAAAATGAAACATAACTGTAACGAACTACCAAAATAACAAAAATAAAAATAAAAACCTTTATTATAGTTATTACTTTTGTTTTTAAATTATTTTTTCGCATTTGGTTATTTTTATTTTTTTAGACACTATGGAGAATACAATAAGTATGCATTTTATTGTATCGTCTAATATTTTGTTAATAAATAAATTATTGTTTTTCAATCTCAGATTTATTTACTATTATTTACTTATTTATTTTTTAGACAAATTAGTTAACGCTTGTAAGTAAATTTTGTTTTTGGATTTAAAAAATTTAATACGCAATATATATGTAAAATCTAATTTGAATATATAGTTTGTGTATATGAAGCACAAACTTGAAAATTGTATTATTACTAAATTTTTTGATAAATAGGTTTATAATTATTTTTATTCTTTAGTGAAACCTTCATCAAGTTCCTCAAGTAAGATTTTCTCTTTTCAGGTTTTATAATGATAGTAAATTATAAAATTTTAATGGTTGTCAATTCAGATGAGAATATCCAATTTTTTTAAATAGTAAACTTTGTTTATCTTAAGATAAACTATGTTTATCATAAGATAAACAAAGTTTATCTTATGATATTTTTCTTTTGTTTAATGATTGTCCCAGCTACAACTACAGGTGTTGTTAATTTGCTATTCTGGCTTAAAACTCAAAAATATACATAATTTCAATATGTCATTTAGGTTTACCTAATAATTTTAATTGTTATCTTTAGCTGTATCTCCAGATTCCAATACTGGTATGATTATATATGAGAATTATTTAAAGTTACTAAATTTATATGCAATTTAACTTATATTTATATTATATGTTGCTCCAACTTATAACATAGGTAAGGTAACCTGTAATGTTTTAAAATGTTTGGCTTTTTAATGTAAAAATTTTTTTGAAAATTTGAAGTTATAAAATTTTATTGTGATATTTAAATTTTTATATAATTTGTATTTTTTATATTCAACAGGCTCTTCAGTTGAAAATTCTGGTAAGAGTTAAGATTATCTGGATAATCTTGATGATTTTTCTAGAAAAATGGTAGTTCAGTAGTTTATTCAGGCAGCACATAAAAAACGAATAAAAACATACTGAAATTGGAGCTAAGATTTCTAAAAGACAGACTATAAAACGCCAAAAAATTGATGAAAAATAAAAAAGAAAGTTAGAGCAACAATCAACATTATTAACTATCAGTGAAATTCTGAATCTGTTTAAAAACTTATCTACTAAGCAAATTGATGATTTAAATGATGTCATGTGTAAAAGAGTTGTTGGGAGAAATCTTTGCCATGAATGATATGATTCCGATACAGCAATGACAGTCTTGTATTATGCCAGAGTAGAAAAACTTAAAAAAGCACAGAAAGGCATTATATACACTATTTCTTACTGAACTAGAGAAGAAAATGATACTGAAACAGTTGATTATTATATGAAAAAATTCCAGCTAGTTGCTGACTTTGTATCCGGTGAGTTGATGTTTTCCCAATGTAAATATGTTGCATTTATTTTTTTATAATTGAAAATGCATTTTATTATCTTACTACTTTATTTTACTATTTTTTGACTCTCTATCTTTCTCTCTCTCTCTCTCTCTCTCTCTCTCTCTCTCTCTCTCTCTATATATATATATATATATATATATATATATATATATATATATATATATATATATATATATATATATATATATATATATATATATATATATATATATATATATGTATATATATATATATTTATATATATATATAAATATATACATATATTTATATATATATATATATATATATATATATATTTATATATATATATTTATATATATATATATATATATATATATATATATATATATATATGTATATATATATTCATATATATATATATATATATATATATATATATTTATATATATATATATATATATATATATATATATATATATATATATATATATATATATATATATATATATATATATGTATATATATATATTCATATATATATATATATATATATATATAAAAATATATATATATATAAATATATTTATGTATATATATATATTTGTATATATATATATATATATGTATATATATATATATATATATATATATATATATATATATATATATATATATATATATATATTTACAGATATATATATATATTTGTATATATATATGTATGTCTATATATATATATATATATATATATATATATATATATATATATATATATATATATATATATATATATATATATATATATATATATATATATATATATGTATGTATATCAATTATATGCAAATGAACAGCGAGAAGTGGAACTTGCACAAAAAAAAAAAAAGCGAGTAGTGGAACTTGCAATTTTTTTTGATAGACGGCTCTGGCTTACGGTCACGTCGTGTCTATTGTTAACAATGATTAAAATATAGTTTCATTAATGGAATTTAATATCTTAATCATTAACTATAAGCCAAGACGCAAACTAATTATAATATTATAAAACATTTTTTGTTTTTGAAATTCTTTTTTAGGTCAGAGGGGGAAACATCAAAATATATCACAAAGCATTTGTGATGTATTTTGAGTTTTGGTAAAAGATGTTTTTAATTTAAAGTTTATTATTTTAATTGCATTTAAATATTTGTTTGAATCTCAATAAAAATAGCTTCTTTTTTTTTTTTAGGTTGTCAAAAGAAAAAAGGGGGGGGGGCAACAACACACCCCCTCCCCCATTTTTACCCCTTGAAACAAAGGGCGCGCTGCTAGTGATTTTGTCAAGTAGTAAAATATAATTTTTGATTTGAATAATAGATTTCTTTTTGATTATAAAGATAAATATTTATATAAAGAGTCATTTTTGATAACAGGGTGTTTGAAACCATCACCCTTACATCCACCCAACGGCAATGATGAGTCTTCTATATTTGATTGTGATCTGATAGCTAATTACAAAATCATCTTGCATATAAAAATTTTCATTGAAAAAACACTTTTTTATAAATATAGTAAGTCTTTATTGCCGGTGAGGATGGTTGTTTTGTTATCCTTCTTACCCCCGGATGCACCCATAATCTAGAAACCTTTATAAATTTGATGATGACTCTTGTATCAATCTTTTGATACCAAGATATAAACATTTGGATAAGAATTGGTTAAGTTATAATAGTTTCAGTTAATAAAAACTTTATTTTGACCACAGTTTCTTTAACAATTTCTAATATCAAAAAATCGGTACTTAAAACGTCATAATTTTTTGTAGGGTGGTTTGATTTTGAAAATTTTTTCACTTTTAGAATATTGACATTGAGCTCTTTTTAATGATATATAACAACCTATAATTTGATGAATTTAAAAATTTCATGTGACATACCTATACCTTAGTGATCAAATTTAGCAAACTAATCGATGAAGAATATATAACGTAAATTAAATTACACGTGCTTATTGCAAAGCATATAAAAATCCGGCCAACGAGAAATTATTTTTGGACAATACGTTAATTTTAATTTTTCAACCAATCAAAACAGGGAGCTGATCTCAGGAAATAGCCGCTCGTGAATAAATCAGATGTTTATCATATATTGATTTGTAATACTAAGTCTAAAATTATTTTTTAAATATATTGAGTAGCTGTATTATGGTGTAGTGATAAATTTAGATTGATAATAATGTTTGATCGATTTTGTAATAAATTTTTGTTTATTGGCATAAATATTGTTATTTAAGTTTTTATTATCCAGTACAGCTATTCTTCTTACTCCTGTCATTAAAAGTTAAATTTTTGTGATTGGAATGGAACCAACTTTGTCTCTAATACGGACTCTAGGGTTTACAAATAAAGTCACAATTTTAGTCTTGAGGTTGTGAAATGAAGATCAACAATTCATTAAAAAAGATAAAATTCAGAGATCTATAGTCTTATTCTTTTTCCATTGGTTAAATGTTGTTTTGTCACAAAAATATTTGGAATCTATGTTTTAATTAAAGTTTCATTTTGTTTAATGTTGGGTTTAGTTCCTGGCGTCATATTTGTAAAATAGTTTGTTTCTTATCATGTTAATATTCATCAATAAAGCAGAGGTATCAATGATTCAGTAAAATGTTTCAAATGGAATACAGTAGATCTAAATTAATTTTTCTAAGTTATTAATATATAAATTTTCACAATTGAATAAAGATTTTTTCTTGTTATCACTATTACAAAAGGCAATGATTTTTTAGTTGTATATTGCTACACATAATGGTTCAAAGCATTGTTTTATTACATATGCTTATTGTATATAGCTACCCATTATGGTTCAAAGCATTTTTTATAACATATATTTATTACATCCGGGTTTAAAGCATTATTTTATTACATATACTTATAGAGTATTATGTAGGTATCAAAATTGCCTGTTTAGGCATTGTAAACATGATGTGATGAATTACTTAACCCAGTCCTGAAATACCCTCTAGTATTTTGGTAAATACTATTACCACACTTTTTTAACACTTAATAACGTATTGGGCTTTTTTACTTTTTTTAATTGCAACATAATATTCAATAAAAAGCATTTCATTAAAAATAATATTGTACTATTTGCTGCAGTACTAAAAAACTCAAGTTTTTATTGATTCAATATTTAGCGTATTGACTGCTTTTGAGAAATTGATTTACTTGAAGAGATTCTCTGAAAATTACTACTATGTATTATTTAAAATTTTTTATTTTAGTTTTTTACTTTATTACTTTATAATTTGTCTTTAAGGTGAATAAAAACTAATAATGTAGTGTGTAGGCTGATTTAAATTAATTTTATTAATGATCTTCGTTACTATTATGTTTATTTTAAGTTAATTTACTATTGTACTATTTTAAGTGAAAGGTGTTGATTTAAAAAATTATTAAGCTAAAAGTTATGGAAGAAAATTTTTTGAAACAATGTGTGCTATGTAAAAAACCTGTATATAAAAGATTCTCTGAAAGCAAATTATGTGAAAATGATGACTACAAAATTTGTAAAACTTGTGCAGGTATAAAATTTGTTGTGTAAGTTTGTTTGTAGTAGTCCTCTTACTACTATATTATTTATGATTAGATTCATAGTGCGATATTCCTTAACTTGAGAAAAATATAATCATTGAAAGAGGTATATATTTACACAACAGAGAAATCACTTATCAATTGTATATAATGTATTATATTTTACATATAACTTTTTTATTATATTTGTATTGTATTTAGTATGCATATTATATATGTAAGTTGTTATTATTTCATTTAGCTTTTAAGAATTTTACAACACACTCCATAGAAGAAATTTCATCTTTGTCATTACTTATGTCAATTTTTTCTGGTCAAGTATGTGTGTTTTATAAACATTTGTGAATTTACAGATTCAATTGAGTAAAACAACCTCCTCAAAACTAACTATGTAATTTTGTGCATTGTTTTTTTTTATCCTATCTTTATGAGAGTTTGTGTTAATGCTTAAGATGTTTTAAAAAACATGTAAACTTCTTTAATTATTTTTAGCTATATAGTTTTAGACACAACATATGTAATGCTGGTGGAAAGGCAAAAAGTAAACATTGATTAAAAATTTATTACAAAAATATTAAAACTTATTTAATGCTGAAAAAAGTTTTTAGTTTATCTAAAGTTACTTGTTTATTTGGATTTATACTTTAAAGGAAACCTTATAGACCAAGATTTAATGTATCTTTTGTCAGAAGAAAAAAATGATGATTCAATGGCTGCACTTTCTAAGTCATTTAATAGTCTCAAGGTAAGGAAGGTAGTGTTATCATTTAATAAGTAAACATATATTTTAAATAAGTAAACAATATATAAATATTGTTTACTTTATTTTATAAATATAAAAAAAGTAAACAATATATAAGCATGGCCACTGATAAAGTTTATTTAGGCCATTGTATTTTATACAAATTTCAACTAATAAGAAATGCTACAGAAGCATGTAAAAATTTATTAAAAGTGTTTAGTGAAGTAACTGTTTCTGATAGGATATGTAGAAGAATGGTGCCATAAATTTCAAATTGGTGATTTCGAATTTCTGATCGGTCACGTTCTGGGCGTCTATCTTTTAATGGATGACAACATTATTAAGAACATGTTGGATAAAAAGTGTTTCTGTTAATTATATATATATATATATATATATATATATATATATATATATATATATATATATATATATATATATATATATATATATATATATATATATATACATATATATATACATATACATATATATATATATTATATATATATATATATATATATATATATATATATATATATATATATATATATATATACATATATATATACATATACATATATATATATATATATATATATATATATATATATATATATATATATATATATATATATATATATATATATATATATATATATATATATATATATATATATATGTATATCAGGGATGCGGAGTCCCAAAAGGACTCTGGCTAGATAACTTTATTTTTTTTGTCTCTGGTGGCCAGAAGCTCTAAACATGTTGGTTGATTAATAATCTGCTATAAGAAAAAAAGTTATGATGTTTAATGACTTAGAACTTATTGTTTTTAATTCTGGAGTCTTTTCCGCCATTATACCTAAGGACACCGGGTTCAAAAATTGATTTTTCTTCTGAACTATAAGTTTTGATTTTTTCCCCATTAGTAGCCTATAAGCTTTTTGACATTTTAAAGCTCCTGGATACGAAAAACTTGAAAGAAGTAAACTTTTTGTGACTTTCAAATCCGGAGTCCTTGATAAATATATATAATTATATATATATATATATATATATATATATATATATATATATATATATATATATATATATATATATATATATATATATATATATATATATATATATATATATATATATATTTCAGGTCAGTTACTCACTTGAAATGACATTTGACATCAAGAAAACACGATTGGGATGAACAAAAGGTATCTAATGCACGTTTAAACTTTAGTCTAAATCTAAAACGAAAAACCATTTCACCTCCAAAAAGGCATTTCAAAGTGCAAAAATATCAAAAAAAGACATGCCCAATGAATTTCTGCACAAAATAGAACTTAAAAGACTCGGAAATCATTTAAGACAATTTCATAAGCTCTCAAATAATAATGTCAAACTTATGATGGCAAAAGCTACTAATGTCTATGAAAAGTCAACTAGTGAATCTGAATATGAAGATCACCAAGACGAATCTAAGTCAGATGAGATACCGAGTCTTGAACCTTATTTTGATAAACAAATTTTTATTCAAGGTGAAAGTTTTTTGGGTTCATCTTCAGATAGTGATGAAGATGGGTTGGCTTTACAGTATGTTCCCACTAGGTTTAAAGGTAGAGGTTAGTTTAGCAACAAATTCTATAAAACAATACTTGAATCAATGATTTTTTTTTAACTTTGAAATGTTATGTTTTGTTTTTACATTACACATTTACAACAACTTTTGTTAAACAAAAAAATATTAATTAAATAGTAAATTTATCAACACAAAAATCATATAGATAAAAAATACAGTCAAGAAAAATTTGTTTTAAGTTTTAAATATGTTTATTATTGTTTAATTTTAATTTCTTTTTTATAGATACACTGAACTGCACTGAAAATTTTATTAGTGATACAAGTTATCATTTGTCTGATGATTCCAATGAATCAGCTGATTTTGATGACCTGTCTGAGAAGTTTTATATGACCTCGTGTTTAGAAAACCAGCTCAATGAAGGAGTTTGTTGAATAGCTAGTTAGTATTGATGGGGGTTGTAAGCCAATAAGAAGTGAAATTAAACACAAAGGTATAATTCTAGGCATTGTTCCACATTAAATGAATCTGAGTTTAGTTACAGTAATCTTGGTTGTCATTCATTTTTATGTTCATGGATGATAAAGTTAAATAAAGAGAACAAAAAGCCTGGTACAATTAAAACATATCTAGGACCTGTTAAACATTTTTCTTGACTTTTGTATCGTCAAAGAAAAGTTAGACATAATTACATTTGAAAAACATGCAAAAATAAAAACCCTAATTTCAAAATGAGGAAAAACTTTACGGAAATCTATACAAGAACGACGATATGAAAAAGATCGAAATGATTTTGAACATTTTCCATCTACTGAAGAAATTCTTATATTAGATACTTCAGAAATTGTTCTTATTAATAACTTTGTTTGCTTCACAAATTTGTGAAGCAAACAAAGTTATAAGAACAATGTTATTAAACCCACAAAAGCTACATTTTGTCTAGCCCTGGATTATTTAGTAACATGTATTATATTTGACAATCCCTCTCGTCTCGGTGCAATAAGCAATATGACATTAAATGAGTTTAAAAATGCCTCTGAAAAAAAAAGGCTGTTTCACTGTAAGTGTGATGAAACATAAAACTAGCTATACAGAACCAGCTAATATTGTGTTAACTCACTCTTTATATATGAAAGTTGAGAAGTACATCACATTTATGCGTAATATGCTTAAAGGGTATCCAAAGATATTAATTTTTGTGTATTTTTATGTTGGAATGAGAGTTCAATATTTTCATCCATGCTTTCTGCACAATTTTCATCTTTTTGGCAAAAAGGTACCAGTAAAACTTGTCTAACTCCAACTGTTCTTAGAAGACAACTTTGGTTCATGAAAAATATCCAGAGATGAAACAAAATACTGCTAATTTGTTGTGCCACAATTTAAGAACAGCTGAGCAATCTTATGTCATTATTGACAAGAAAAGTAATGCTGTAGAAACAAGTACAAAGCTTAGAGAAGTTGTGAGAGGAACAGCAGTTTTAGAAAGTCAAGCATGTACATTAAGCTTGATTTTTGAAGCTGACTTCTGGTGTCAGGGAAAAATTTACTAAATACTCGCTTGGTGATGCATCTGACTCAAAAATGTTTAAAAAGTTTTAGATGACGTCCGTTTTCTAATTAAAAAAATAAAGCTACAGATGATGATTCCGATTTTGTTTGTTCAGATTCCAAAGTCAATAATAAAAAAGATGGTAACCAATCTACTGAACAGGGTGAGGTTCTGGCAGGTTCTTCCATTTCATCTTTAAATTCATTTAAACGAAATCGAAAGGAGTTTAGCCAGGATGACTTTTTGTTAGTTGATTTATATTTAAAGGAATTTATTGTTTCAAAACAACCTTTGATTAAAAATAATGTGAAAGCACATTTAGAGTCCGAGCCTGAGTGCAAGTATTTGTTAGAAAGATTTGGTCTCAAGTCCTTGATTGTAAAAAATTTGTACTGAAAAAAGAAAATTGTAGTATGTTCTATTTCTAGCATTACGTTTTTGTCGTTTTTATTCGTTTTTTAAGTCATTTTTAAGGATTCTTATCAGTTCCTAATAATTTCATAATCTATATTGTTATGAGATACTTATTGCTCATTTGTGCAGGTTTGGACATGAGGTCTTTTATATAAAGCTTTTATACGCATAGCCTAATATTTTATTATATATTTAACATTTGGTAAAGTTCTTTTAAATCTTTCATAATCTCTATATATCTGCATAATCAGTTTTGTGACTTGAACCTGTTTATTCTATTAGATGATAGTTTGATTTTATCAAATGATCTGTTTATTTAATTTATTAATAGATAAGCCAAGGTAACTTTTTTAGGATACTAAAATAATGAAGGAAGGTTGTTTCAATCTTTTTGTAGATGATTGTATTGAAAATGTATTACTATCTACATTATCTGATAAATTTTGCGGATCATGGTGATGATGTACTTTTAAATATAAGTAAGTATTTTTAACATTTTTTATGTTTAATTTTTTAACACTGTTGTGTTATTTTAGATTGTCAGTTTTCTTTTTAGTTGACTATATTATTTAGTTCAATAATATTTTTAAATGAAAACAAATATGGGTTAAGGATTTAATTTTATTCAATACTTAATATTTAATATTAATTAATTAATATTAATAATATTATTTATATTGATAATATTATTAAATAATATTATTTATATTAATAATATTATTAAATGATATTATTTATATTAATAATATTACTAAATAATATTATTTATTATTAATAATATTATTAAATAATATTATTTATATTAATAATATTATTAAATAATATTATTTATATTAATAATATTATTAAATAATATTATTTATATTAATAATATTATTAAATAATATTATTTATATTAATAATATTATTAAATAATATTATTTATATTAATAATATTGTTTAATATATTATTTATATTAATAATATTATTTAAGATTTAATATTAATAAATTAAGGATTTAATATTAATGTTTTTATCTGTATTTAATATTAATAATAGTAGCTCATATGCATACTTAAAAACATGTTTAAAATTTTTTTGATTTTATTTAATAACTCGAATCTAACTTTACTTATTAACTCGAAATTAATTTTTTTTTTATATGCATTTATCGGTTAAGCCTGTTGTTTACACTTTTAGCTTTTTTATTATTTATGACTAATAAATTGATATTTAATCTCTATATGTTATAGGAGCTTGCTTTTTCAAGAACTAGATTATTTATTACTTTTAAAATTCGGTTTGCTGTGCTCATTTAGCAAACCATACGCAAACAATATACCGGTAAAGAATTATTACATAGTATAAATATTAGTCGCCACAATATTTAAACAAATTAAATTTACTTAAGTTTACTTAACTGTTTGTTCTTAGTCTTAAATTGAAAGAATTTTTTTTTAGTTCTGCCTTTGTCATCGTTTTATTTGTTTACCTACTATTGAAACATGGTTTTAATTTAGTAAACTTTCTTTATTTGTAACTTACTTTATTAATCATTAGTCAACAGTTAAGAAAAAATTAGAATTCTACCTAATTGAGGTAAATTATTTTACTAGTAATATTACACAACCAGTTTTTAAGTTTAATTTTGTTATTGCTGTTTTGTTCTAGTATGTTTTTATGACCATTACCAAAAATAACTTTTGCTCAATACTCGTAAGTAATTATTTAATAAATAGGATCAGTTTATTGTGTCTTTTTAACTTTTTTTTATATTTGGAATACTTTTAATGGTGGAAGATTATATTTACCTTTTAATGTCAGTTATACTGTCGGCTACCGTGTGATGTCAAAACTTATTTAAGTACTGATATTATTTAAACAGATAACTGTAAGGAAATAAATAATATTTCTATCGAGTTTTTAAATAATTTGATTCCATAAGGTAAGCCTGTTTACGCTTTGCTGTTATAACTGATTTTTGAAACAAGTTTTATAACATCAACTAATGTCTTCAGTTTATTGTTTACTAAAAGCCAACATGAAATAACATTCAACAAAATACATCAAATCTGAATGATATGCGCGATGGGGAGGAAATGGGTGGAAAAATTAGAAGTTAATGTGTATTAACGTTAACCATAAAAGTTTTGAATTATTAAACGTTAATCTCAAAACCAAAATGCAAAACTTAGAAAATTATCCGTCATTCTTGAAACAAGAAAGTTGTTCATGAAATGAGGAAATTATTTTAGGAGTAATATTTTAAAGTTCCATAATAAGATATCCAATCCCTGCCTATTATCCTTTTCGTTAAACAGCAGTAAGTCCGTCCAAAGCAAGGATTTTATATATTTTAGAATAACTAAGTTAAAGTGTATATAAAAGTAAAAGCCCCTCATTTTCGACACAAGAAAAGCTTACCTTGAAATGAGAAAAACGCAATTGTTTCTTTTAGTTAAGAAATAATTCTCTAATGTAAACAAATGTTTTTAATATTCTAGAAATACGATAGAGGTTAAATTTTTTTTTTTTTTTACTCATCAACACTTTAATTACTATCTTACCAAACACGTACGACGGGTCGTAGTAGATATATGTTCTCCGTCGAATTATTTTATTATACAGCATTTTTTAAAGTTATTAGGTGATTTACTTTTTCTTTTCTACCCGACCATTTGTAAGCCTTTCTTAAGCAGCTATGAGTAGAGGCGTGTGCTCTTGACCAGCACGTGTAACGTAAAAAAAACTCACAAAAGCATAAGCGTTATCAGATCTATATAATATTAAACATATCTTTTTCCTTGATTCCCATTCAAAATTTCGCAAATTTTGCTTAGAAAGTGATACTGTTGTTTTGCTGAGCACGGTAGTATTATTTCCAATTTACCCAAAACGTTTACATTAGAGAGGGAGGCACATGTCCGTTGTTTTTTCTCTATTTTAAAATTTTTTAATAGTAACAAAGATCATTTCATATAAAACCACACAATAAGCAGTGAATTTCACTAAGCCTTTCGTTTACAGTTAAAAACGAAATTTTAGTATAATGCAAAGTCGAGGAAAGTGCAGCCTCCATTTTACTCAAAAACAGCATTAGAAAATGATTTTAAACATATCAGCAAAAACATATTCTTATAATCTTTAATGTTTTTAAAAGTCAAAAAACACAAAGATTAAAAATTCATAAAATGAAAACCTTACTACTCTCCATATAAAAAGTTTTAAAAATTTGGAAATTTTGCTTCAACTATTTTAAGCATATAGCATAAAAAGCAATAAGTTGTGGTGAACACACCCTACAGATGTCATAGATGTCTGAGATTAATAGTCATAGCTACACAAAACAATTGCTAACTATGCATAAAAGATAAAAATCACAATAAAATGTAATAGACATTTATATAAAACATTCTTATATACAACATAATTATAATCAATCACGTATCGTAATGTATCATTTGTTTATATGTTTCATATGAATGTATCATACATTTTAAAAATTTGAAACTTTAATAGTACGTGGAACTATTTCCAAAAACTATTAACTAATATTAATTCACTGATACAAACGATCAATTCATAAAGTGTCTTTGTTCTATAATTTTTCTTCGAGGTTCAGAATATCTTTTTTTCTCTTCAACCTGCTAATAAATTCAATAAATCGAAAAAGATAGAAAAAGTAAAGCATTGATGGAAACATTTAACCCTAAAACACTAAAGATTTCTTAAATCTTTGAGATTAGACAATCTCACCAGTGTAATTTTTTTTGTTGAACCTGCAGCCTTTTAAGATAGGCATAGAGAATATTTCTTTATCACTATCAACAGCTGTTTCAACGCTTGATGTAAACTCTAACATTTCTATCCATTCTAAAGCAGTCTCATGATGCACTGTATATTTTCAACAAAAATATAAAGAAAAGATGAAACCATACTAAACAATGAATATTTACTATAATTGAATCAAATATAGCTGTTTAGATCAAAAACAAAAACATTATTGAAAATAAAGCAAAAACAATATTGTAAATAAAACAAAAACAATATTGTAAATAAGACAATTAACAAAATAAAAATAATATTTTGTTTTTCAGCTGCTTTTAGTTACTTTTAGAAGCGTGTCTTCATATATGGCAGCCTAAAGGCAAGATGATTTGACCAACACACTATTTTTTAAAAATTCAGCCATAGCAAATTTTTTAAACTTCATTGCCATCTTCAGTTTAACGGTACAACAGCTAAAAAAATCATAACAAACAAATTATGACATAAAAAAACTTCAAATTAATTTTTTTTTTTCAGATTATTATTTTTTTAATTGAAAATATTAGTCTAAAATTTATTGAGTTTCATTTCTTAATATAAAATGTAATCGCTTTTTATTTCAAGTAGAGTTTGATTATTGGTTAGTAAAAGAAAGTGAATTTTAAAGTTTGCGTGGTTTGGAAAGGTTTCCATAATAACATTTTCTTACTTAAATATGACATTAAGGAAGAGTTAATAATAGTTGTTACAATTTTATTTTTATTAGTGTTTTCATTCTCTATTATAGGTTGCCTTTACTACGGCTAAAGATCCATAGTAAATGCACCCTGAAGACAGCCAACTTGAGACTCTAAGTAAATCTTTACCCTAAGATTAGAAGATTCAAATGAGCATGAGATTAAGATCTCATTCTCAATTGAATAAGATAGCCAGGCATAGAATGAATATTTTTTTTTGGCTGTAGAACACTAAAATAAAGTGTTTTTAATATACAACATAAAAACTATTCAGTGTTTAATTAGTTTGAAATCTAATTACATATCAATTTAATTTCTATAATAAATAAAATTACACTGTATTTTTAAAAATGAGTTTGTTTACTAGCATACTGCAGTAAACATTCAGTGAATTGTATAACTTTACAATTTAAGATTTAAACAAATTTTTTTTGTTTAAATCTTAAATTATAAATTATACATTTTTACAATTAATGTATACAGGTATGTATACATTAATTGTATACAAACATAACATACACCCATATATGTAGATTCGTATATACTATACACAATTAAACGTATATAAACAAACATACTGTAATAATAAAATATATTTGTTTTTTCTTACTGTCTTTCTAAATATTTTTACTCAATATATATACATTTGCGAGTACCCCCGAGAGTATAATAAACAGTATAAACGTTATGTACAGTATAATATATACGACGCACCCACAACATTCCTTCTGACACAACACGTTAATAGTTTATATATAATACAATTATTTACACTAATTACAACACCCCTTGATCTCTAGATCACAAAGTCCGCATACTTATTCGTAAACTTCCGCACACGCATCGATCTTCTGAGATTCAGGTTGTTCGCGGTGGGTTCTTCCGGTTCTCTCGTAGAAAAGTCAGCTACAATAGGAGCTGGACGGACGTCCGACATGTGTCTCGGCAATCCATTGATTTCTACCGAAACTCCTTGTCCTTCATCTGAGACTTC